CTTGTTAATTACTATTCAATGTTAATGCACTTTTTAATGTTAAAACAAATTGGTTGCTTTTGATAGAAAGGTACATTAAATCTATTCTTTCTCTCAGCACAGATATTTTATATGTAATCATAGTTGGCAATATAAGTTTACTATACATTTTGTCTTAAGCATTTTGGCAAGGTGCATATCATATCTCCATTTTTATTAAATGCTTTCTATCCTATCGTTATACTGCATTTTATTTAATTTCCATGAACTTTCTTTAATGTTGCTCCCTCCTTTTTTTTTTTTTAATTGGTAAAATTTTATTAGCTCTTTAATTTCTTTCTAAAACATTTTCACCTGTTGTTTACTTAAAGATTCCAAGAAACTTTAAACAAATACATATTGAAAACACTAATGATCACCTTGTCAGAATGTAGACACTTTTTATGCTTAGCTTAGCCTGGCACAAGAACAGGTCACCTTTTATGGGATTAATTACAACATTTCAAGAAAATCATGTAAAGGAATATTTAATAACTTTACTAGGTAGCAAAAGAATCTATTTATTATTTTAGGGTTGGTTGTTATATAGCTGTAGCAGGGGAAGTAAGTGTAGATTATGAGGATATGTAGGATAGATAACAGTTGACCTTAGACTTAGAGAGATTAAGACTTTCCTAAGTATTTGTATTTTCCAGTTCATCAAATTTTATGTTTTTTTTTTTTGTTTTTTTTTCTTTAGCATTACAATTGAACATCATAGGGTAGAGAAGCAAAGCTTGTAACTTCCAAAACTTGTCTATTGTGCATAAACAGGCTTCTTGATGCTTTAAAAGGATATTAATAAAACTCATAAATAATATCAAATCAAATAATTTATTCCATGTGCTTTTTCTTATTAAATTTGAGCCTCAATCCAATCTCAAAAATCTGTACAAGCCTTAAACATCAAGTGGTGTCCTCCTTTATGATGACTGTGATGGTATTGCTGTTCGGGTTGAAGGACTTATTGTGTTCTGCTCCAAAACATGCCAAACTATTTAGTCTAACAGGTTCAGGTCTGAGCTTGAGAAGAGCTAGAAATCTGTTAAGTTAACTCTGCAGAATCTATGCTTGACCGTGTGGCTAGTACCGTCTTGTGTCTACACATGGTTGACTTTTAGCCATCAAAATATATATCATTTTAAGATTTTATAGTAAGCATCATCACTGACCTTTTCTTCAAGTTTCTAGACAGAATAGGTCATCTTTTCCCTCATCAGAAACCACAACACTGACAACCATGATTTGACCTGGATGTTTAGTCCTGAAGGTGTCCTTGACATTAGCTGATAACTTTGCAAGGTACTGGTTGTTTTGACAGTTCAAAACCATGTCCTCTGAAAATATTTTTGGCAGAGAATATTTTAATAGTTAACCTGAACACTTTCTTGTACATTTCTAGTTTCATGGACTCCATGTAAAGAGCTAACTAGAAGGTGTTCTAATTATCTTGTGAGCTACATTTAGCTCTTTACATTATTTACATCAATCGAACTGCTGTCCTTATCTTTATTGACATATTCATGACATTTCTATGCTCTAGTGATATATGTTGGAATTCTTTAGGTGATACACGTTGGAATTTCAAATTAGACACTTTATTTAGAAGGCTGGAGAATACAACAGCGAAAATGTTGTGAATATGACAATAAAGATGAAGACAATAGTCTGAACAATGTAAATAGTTACAATACTGCACCTCAGAAATATAGACAGATACTTTTAGGTCAACAGATTTTATGCATGGACCATTGTTGTGTCCTTTACAATTTTGATCTTGAGAACATAACACTTTTTGAGCCATACCATTGTCCAGCTTTCTCTGGGAGCAATTGCCCATGTCTATCTATGGTCTTCTTGATATTGAGGACTTTGTAATAGCACACCATCTATGTTGTATTTGCTTTTAGGATTGATTTTTGCACAAAGTAAGTGTGACACTTTTTTATTGTTTGTCTATGAAGTCATTTTTTGCAATATTCTTGAAAAATAGATGTGTATTAATAGCTAGAAGTATTTTTTCTAATTTTTTAAAGTTCATCCATCTTTTTGTACCTCATTGTTTTGTTGATTTGTTTAATTTAAAATTTTAATTTTATCTTCATATTTCCAACCTTATTTATCCACTTTTTCATCATTTCTAATATTTGCTTTGTGTTATCTCCCTTTGTTGTTATTTTCATTTGTTTTCCCTGTTATCACTACTGCTTCCTTGAGTATAGTTACCAATTTGCTATTCATATTTTCTATGCTGTTTTGGCCATTTCACAAAGACTGGCATCTGTTCTGGATTTCTACCTGAAAATTCAGTTATCTTTTCTCTGGCTTTATTAGGATATCTTTTCACTCTTAGTATATATTTTTTCTCTATTTTAAAATCAAATTTTACTAAGCAAACTACCATTCTATGATCACTTCCTATATTAACCTTATGACAGTTATATCTGTAATAATATTGAATTTGTCAACAATTATGAAGTCAATTTAATATTCTATTTCTGTATTTGGCCTTTTCTAAGTCCATTTACAGTTTCTTTTGAAAACATATATTCATGATTGACATCTTGTCTTTCTGAAAAGTTACCAAACATTTCATTCCACTTCTTTTTCTCTTCCTTATTCCAAATTTTCCAAGCCTAAATTCTACCTTCTTGTCTTGCCTTCTGCAATGAAGTCCCTCATCAGAATGGCAGCATAATTTTCTCTCTGTGTTACTAATATCATCTTAAAATTCTTAACTTTATATATCTGATCTTTTGAAAGTTGATTCATATACTTGGATAATTTTTAGGCAGTATATTTTGCATTATTTCATTAATATCCAAGCTACTCCGATATATTGTTAAGATTTTCTAAATTGTCTATTGTTACTACAAAAGCCTACATCATTAAACATGTTATTCTCATTCCTCTTACAATAAATGACATGTTTACTGACTTTCCAGTGAAAGAGATTCACTTCTTTCTTGACAATCTCACTAATAGCAATCACGTGATCATTACTGACAATGTCGCTCACTAATAGCAATCACGTGATCATTACTGACAATGTCGCTCACTAATAGCAATCACGTGATCATTACTGACAATGTCGCTCACTAATAGCAATCACGTGATCATTACTGACAATGTCGCTCACTAATAGCAATCACGTGATCATTACTGACAATGTCGCTCACTAATAGCAATCACGCGTGATCATTACTGACAATGTCGCCACTAATAGCAATCACGTGATCATTACTGACAATGTCGCTCACTAATAGCAATCAGTCGATCATTACTGACAATGTCGTCACTAATAGCAATCACGTGATCATTACTGACAATGTCGCTCACTAATAGCAATCACGTGATCATTACTGACAATGTCGCTCACTAATAGCAATCACGTGATCATTACTGACAATGTCGCTCACTAATAGCAATCACGTGATCATTACTGACAATGTAAGCTCACTAATAGCAATCACGTGATCATTACTGACAATGTCGCTCACTAATAGCAATCACGTGATCATTACTGACAATGTCGCTCACTAATAGCAATCACGTGATCATTACTGACAATGTCGCTCACTAATAGCAATCACGCGTGATCATTACTGACAATGTCGCTCACTAATAGCAATCATGATCATTAGTGACAATTCGCTCACTAATAGCAATCACGCGGATCATTACTGACAATGTAGCTCACTAATAGCAATCACGTGATCATTACTGACAATGTCGCTCACTAATAGCAATCACGTGATCATTACTGACAATGTCGCTCACTAATAGCAATCACGCGTGATCATTTGACAATGACGCCACTAATAGCAATCACGTGATCATTACCGACAATGTCACTAATAGCAATCACGTGATCATTACTGACAATGTCGCTCACTAATAGCAATCACGTGATCATTACTGACAATGTCGCTCACTAATAGCAATCACGTGATCATTACTGACAATGTCGCTCACTAATAGCAATCACGTGATCATTACTGACAATGTCGCTCACTAATAGCAATCACGTGATAAGTGATATGGTTCAGTTCCATAATTATTTGGTCCATTTTGTAATCTTCAGCTATGGTTTGAATATTGTATCTGTTTATGTTCATGTTTTTGATTGTGTTTAAAGATGAAATCTTTATTCTTAGACTGTATCAGTTTGTCCTTGGTGGCAATTGAGGCAATGTCATTGAACTTTTATTAAATGATGATCCAAAAGGAACATAATGGTATATATTTAATTTTGTCTATCATTTGAGATTGAAGAAAGATAGTGACTAATTGAATCTACTATACACATGTTGCCACTAATTTTTGGTGAGCTTGAGGGATTGGTTATCACTGATCTCAATCAGGTTGGCCTTAGAGTTTCATCATCCCTCCATCATTATTTCTCATCTCAGTGAGTTGAGACATTGGTATGTGCAGCTTTGAAAGGTATCAAAATAGAGAGTGTGGCCAGCAGAGGATGTGATGGCTCATAGGAGTGTATGCAACTCAACTATTGATATGCTTATTTATATACACCCACTGAAGTACATATATTAAGATATCTATCTGTTAAGATAGAAAAAATATTACCTTTTTAATCATTTTAGCAAAGATTAAACCATTTTATTAACAATTTAATATTTATATATTCACAGTATGAACTGTGTATATAACATTTGTAATATGAGCTGTATATATATATATATATATATATACACACTCTTAAAGTGTACTATATTTATGGGATAAAGTGCTCAATATCAGAGATAGAGCATGTGTAAATATAAAAGTGAACATTGAAGTCAACGTCTAACATGAAGCAGCCTGTCGTCTCTAAGTGTTGACTTCAATGTTCACTATATATATATATATATATATATATATATAATGATCTTGATTTTTTTTTTTTTTTTTAATGATCCAGATTTTCCACCTTATTTTGATACTAATTTTTTTTTCTCTCTCTCTCTTTCTTTCCTCAGTATTCAAGCTGGATGCCAACTCTTCGTCAACAATTCAAACCAATAAGAGCCAAATTGATATCACAAGGATTTAATAAAGAAATTGTCGAGGTGGAAGAATTCTTCCGACCCAAACCTCCCAGTGATGGCAGGTGTGTAAACATTTTTTATGTATTTTTTTTTTTTTTTTCTCATTAACACCTGTTTGTTTTTCACAGCTGAGAAATTTTTATAGTCGAGTAGCACAAACCACTTGCTCACTTATTTTGAGGCTGACATATGCCATTTTGGAATGTTTCCAATTGAAATTATTCAAGTCCTAAAATTATGAATTTCACTCAAATAGTAATCCATAATTAAAATTAAACAAAAATATCATTTGAGAAAATTAAGACATAAAATGGCTACCCTGTAATCAGAAACAATTGCTAAAAAAATTATTTACTGGTGGAGTAATTTGAATGACTGAAATGTCCACTGAAACACAGGAAATGCTGGCTATCCTGACAGACAATCAGATTCCTCAATCTGTTCAAATACCATTAAATTTTTGGAAGTACCTTTTACAATCAAGATGGTTGCATCTCTAAAAATGCCTCTGTATGTTTTGTACAGTATTTGTGATTTGAATTTTGGTTGCTCTTTTGTAAAATAAATTTATTTAGTATGGCTCAGAGCTACAATAGCAGAGCATTCAGTGAGAATTGAACTCATTATACTTGTGAGTTATCTGCATGGTTTTGTTGATAACTGATGTATTACAGTAGATGTTTTATCTTGTCATCTTTTTGTATTGATTATTATGCAAGCTTGTTAAAAAATGTTCATTTATGTCTCTCAACTCACATATTTTTCTAAATTATACAGATTAGAATCATATGGAGAAAATAAAGTAAATATTAACCAGCATTCAAAGAGCTTTCTAAAGATATACAACTTAACCATATTGTTAGTATATGCTGGCAAATATCCAAATCCACCATTTCGAATTTGGCCCAACTCAGTAAAACCCTTATAACTCAGGCCATCGTCAAAAGTCCACCACAAAATTTTGTACTTATCTTGTCATAAAGCAGACAAATTTGTTGTAAATTTTTTTTAAAAAGATAATAAAGATACTTTTTTTTTTTTTTTAGAAATTAAAGGTCAAATTTTAAAGTCAAGGTCAAATTATCTTATTTGACCTTTAAACAAAAAATAAATAGATCACCATTTAGATCTATCCAAGTACTTTAAAATGGTATGTAATTGAGCTTTGTAGGTGAAAAAACAACTTGGATATTGATATTTAAACTTTGCAATTATTTTTCCAAATTCACCTTTTTGGTAAGGTTCAAAAGGCCATATCACGGGAACCTTTTGACCTATAGATGTAAAATATGTACCATTCAATTTCTTTTATGAAAATCTATAAGTGTACCAAATTAGAAAAATAAAATCTGTGTCAGTGATGGTCAGTTGATTTGACATGAAATGAGTCTACACTTCATATGTTATTTTTAGTTGATACCAGTATTTGAGTAGATGCTCTATTTATTTTAAACACTATTTATTTCATCTACTGGCCTGCATACTCGAGAAAACTTAATAAAGAAAATATAACTTCCAGCAGGATTTGAACTTATGTCCCCCTCAGAACATTACTCAAATATGGGTATTCACTAAAAATGTGTGAATAAGAATGTGTCTGGTTAAAAATAAAATCCATTAATTCTTTAGAAATTGCTTTGTTTATTTTTTGCATATAAAACTGAGAAAAGACACATTTTGAGAAAAATCTGAATGTGTGAGTGTGCTTTAAATGCAAAATAGAAAGTTGTACCTGAGAGCACACTGAATCAGATGGTGGTTCCTCTTGCAAAGTGAGATGCAGGTTCAAATCCTGCCAGAAGTCATGTTTTCTTTAAGTTATTTCGAGTATGCAAGCTGATAAACAAAATAAATACTGTTCAAAATAAACAAAGCGTCTACTTAAATACAAGTATCCACTAAAAATAATATTTGAATAAAAATATGTCAGATTAAAAAATAAAATCCATTAATTCTTTAGATTGATAATTATATATGTAATGAAAACAGGACAAGAGATTCTGTCTAGTAATCGTTTATTCAATTAAGAATACTACTACTCATCTGACTTGACAGTGGAAGTATACAGCTTTTATAACTTGGATTATCTAAGAGGAGATAATCCATATTCACAACATTCTCCCCCCACCAAATTTCTCACTGATAGGGAAGAAAGTCCCTTAAATGTCCAGGCTCCCTACGAGTTCGCAGTGGCCCGCCTCGGCAGTCCATGATTCGTGGTCGGAGTACTCGAACAGGGAGGCTCTTCAGTGCGAGCCTGTCTGTGGGCTCTAAAATACCTTGCTCCGAAATGTTTCCTTCTCAGAGGAGCAGGCCGTTCCGCGTCAGTCTCTGGATGAACACGTTTATTCGGTGCTAGCCCTTCATCTGTCAGGGTTTCAGGTGTTGGCCCATCCGAAGTGTCTGACGGGGCCTCAATGGAGACAGTGTCGTCAGACGGCATGTCAGGAACAATTTCAGTGCCATGATCTTCCGGAGGGGCTTCAGTGTCAGGGGTAGTTGGTCTGTCCTCAGGGGCTATCCACGGTCCGGTACGTCTCCGGCGGTGCTAGGTCCCTGAGAGACACATTAGACTCTCTACCATCTGCATGTCGTACTAAGCGCGTACTGAGGGTTCGCCTCTATAAGCTCTACCTCGTCCACCAAGGGATCGTTCTTGGTGTAACGTGCATGTCGTCTCAGAAACACAGTGCGGGTCGAGAGAGCCAAGATGGAAGCGAAGCTCCACGAACTCCGTCGCTGAAAAGGTAGAAACCTTTCGTGTGGGGTGGCATTCGTGGCGGTACACAAGGGGAACAAATGGCGTATAATATTTTGACAGGAAGGAGATTTTCCCAATTATCAATTGAACATCCGTTATTTGAGGCAGCCAATTGAACGGTCTTCCAAATAATGCCATTATATCTTTCGCATTGGCGTTACCCTTAGGGTTGTAGGGAGTTGTCCCGCTTATAGCTACTCCTCGTTCCTGTAGAAATTGCGAAGCTGCTCTGACATGAAAGAAGCCCCTCGGTCCGAATGTATATAGGCAGGGGCTCCAAAGATGGCGAACAGTGAGCAGAGGCATTGTATAATTGCAGCAGCCGATATGTCTGAACAAGGGAAGGCAAAAAAACCGTGAATATTCGTCGATAACCGTTAATATATATCTGTTCCTTGTTTTACTTGGTAGCAGTCCTTTAAAATCAAGATTGAGTCTTTCAAATGGTTGTGTTGCTTTTATTAAAAACGCCAGTTTGGGGTTTATAAAACCGAGGCTTTATTTCAGCACACGTTCGACAAGAATTTGTGATTCTTTTTACCTCCTCCACTGAGAAAGGCAAGTTTCTACACCTCACAGCATGAACCATTCGAGTAATGCCGGGTGACAGAGATTGTTATGTAGCGTTAGGAGTTCGTCCCTGCTTGATGCCGTACAGCATGCTCTTGACAGTGTATCAGCTGTTAAGTTCTCCCTGCCAGGTCGGTAGCTGACGTCAAAGGAGAAACAAGATAGCTCAATTCTCCACCTCGCTATTTTCTCATTCTTTATTTTACTCGTAGTTTTAGAGTTGAACATAAAAGCAACTGATTTCTGGTCAGTAATAAGTTTAAAGTGGCGTCCGATCAAGTAGTGTCGCCATTTTCTTAATGCCTCGACTATGGCGTGGGATTCCTTTTCAATTGCGGGGTGTCGTCGTTCAGCCTGTGAGAGGGTCCTTGAAAAGAAGGCTACAGGACGATCAGCTTGTTTCAAAGAAGCAGCAATAGCACAGTCTGACGCATCCGTTTCAACAACCAGAGGAATATTTTGGTCTATTGTTGTAATTGCAGATTTTGCAATATCCTTTTTCAGTCCCTCGAATGCCTCAACGGCTTGATGGGACAGAGGAAACGTCTCTACTTGTGTCAATGGATGTATCTTTTCTGAGAACGAAGCAATCCATTGAGAGTAATGAGCAAACATGCCCATAGCACGTCGAAGGGAAGGCTGGTTGTGAGGGACAGGCATCTGGAGTAAAGGTTTCAATCGATCTGCGTCCGGTGCCATAAAACCTTTGCTTATGGTATAACCCAGTAGGTTTATTTTGTCCATTCCAAACGAGGATTTGTCGTCATTTAGGGTAAGGTTGTATTTATCGACGGCGGACATGGGCCGTCTGAGATTTTCGTTGTGTTCCTTTCTATTATGGCCACATACTGTGACGTTGTCGATGTACGCAAATGTGCCTTCCAGTTTCTCATCCGTTATGATTTGGTCGACTATCCTTTTGGAAGCTGGCTGCCCCCATTCAGAACGCCCAAAAAGGAATCCTCTTGAAATTGATATAGTTGACCGTTTGCCTCGAAAGCAGTGTATGGCTTGTCTCTAGGTCTAATAAGCGATCTGATGGTACTGTGGCTTTTCAAGTCCAGAGTGCTAAAATTTGATATTTGGCTATTTCGCCTATCATTTCATCTATCCTGGGTAGTGGGAAAGCGTCCAAAAGAGTAAATCTATTTATGGTTTTGGGAGTAATCTATAACCATTCTCTTTTTTATGGTTGCTAGAAGTGGTTATAACTACCTGAGCCCTCCAGGGTGATTTGCTAGGCTCAATTATACCCTCCTCAAGTAGTCTTTTTATCTCAGAGTCAATGAATTTTTTTTTATTATAAGAAAAACGTCTGCTTCTCACTGCTATGGGTTTGCAGTTTTCAGTTAGGTTTTGAAAAGTGACGGGTACTGGATTTTTTGCTGTCGCCAATCCACAAATTTTCAATGCGGGCATTGAACTGCCAAAGGAATTTCAACCTGTGAGTGTTGCTGCAAAAAAAATCGTGTCCCAGTATTATTTCGCAACAAAGGTTTTTCATTACGGATAATTTAGTGGTTTTATAGGAGATGTCATTAAATAGTAAGTCCACCAAACAATAACCACTTACTTGCGCAGACAATGACGTGTTTGCCATTGTTACTCTGCTGGGGAGGGACAAAATACAATTTGTTGGTTTTACCAAGCTTTCTTTGATAAAATTTCCTGAGCTCCCGGTATCGAGCAGGGCATTTGTAGACCTCCTGTTAATTTTCACTTTTACAATAGTTTTTGAAAGGCAGTCGGGGAGGCGGCTAAAGTTGCAGAAGTATTTTGACGAGTGGATTTGTATAGAGTTTTAGAAGACTTGCATACCTTTGAAAAATGACCAAGTTTTCCACATTTATGACAACAGTATCTCTGGCAGGACATGAGACTCGTAGGTGTTTAGATAAGTCCAAAAAATAGCAAGTGTCCTTTTTAAAGCGGCAGTGACCGATAGTTCTTGAAGCTTCAAGAACAATCGTCATGAGGGGGGGGACAGTAAGAACAGGTGGGTTTAACGCGGCGCCCACGGTGTCTGGCTGTAAATAAGAACTAGACTGCTGTATAGCACTTTCAAAGATATAGGCTTGCTAAGTAAGCTGTTCTAAGTGTAAGGGTCTTATTCTCAAGAAGACGTTGTCTTATCTGAGTATTAAGGAGCCCCGTTAATGAAGGCGTCCAAAATGTGTAGCTCTTGGGCCTCTAATGCCGTCATTGGGCAGAAGTTGCAATCTTTGCTCAGTGTCCGAAGGCTCTTAAGGAAATGGTCCAATGTCTCATCGCCTGATTCTTGTCGGCGAGTCGCAAGTAGGTGTCTAGAAAATATCTCATTTTGGGGCTTTATGTATATAGCGTTCAGTACATCGATTGCTTAACCGTGGTAAGCAATCCGAGATAATTTTGTTGACTGTGTGAGACAGGTAGTTGGTTAGGGGCACACGCTTATTGATGGGGCGTCCGGTCTTTCTGAATGTAGAACCTCGATGAAATTTGTAAATGTCTCCGCCAATGTTTCCAGCACTTGTCGGCTGAATCGCTTTCTGGATCTGTGGTAAGTCGCTCAGGTCGCATAAATTGTTCCATTCTTAATTGAATAAAATGTAATGAAAACAGGACAAGAGATTCTGTTGAGTAATCGTTTATTCAATTAAGAATACTACTACTCATCTGACTTGACAGCGGAAGTATACAGCTTTTATAACTTGGATTATCTAAGAGGAGATAATCCATATTCACAACAATATACAAATTGAGATAGATAGGTTTGGGCAGAGACCGAGATGAATGCAATTATTTCTATTGCAAAGCTTGGATTTAGTACAAGGCCACAAATATCAAACACTAATGGAAGATCACACTCACTAAACAGTAGCTACAATCTGTAGTACTAACTTGCTAAACTTTATACCTCAACAAGAGACCTAGATAGACTAAGATATATATTATATATACATGTAAACAGAACAATAGTATATACAAGATGTCATTGGCCATCATCAGTTACAAATATCACCAGTTAATGACTGCTTTGGATAAATCCTTGATTCCGTCAACAATTGCAACTCTGAACTGAAATGGTAAAATTTAAAATATCTGACACATGTCATGATAAATTATCCATTTTGAAAGTTATTTTCTCAGAGAATAGTAATCATTGATTAAAATTAAATTCAAAGTGACTGTTACAAAAACAGAAGTTAGAAGGTCTTGTCATTTTACAGTTGGAATGGCTAGATGTAACCATAAATTCTCTACTAAATTTTTTTCTCTTGCAGTTCTTGCTTATGGAACTTTCTTCTGGCTTCATTGCTTTCCAGTCAACTTTGATCTTCAAAAATTTAAATGTATTGCCAATCGTTATCTTCTGTGTTCTTAATTCCAGTTCTTTTATTGGTCTCACTACTTAAGTGTTTTTTCTTTTTCTCATATTCTCTCACACTCAGTCCCCTACTCCTGTGCATTTTAGTGGCTTTATTGTCTTGCTTGAAATTATTGCCTTGCTTTAAAAAAAAAAAAAAAAAGAATAATAATAATTCTGCTATGGAAATAATGTTATTTTAATATCGTCGTTTTGACTTGTTTGGATTACTTACAGCTTAGAACGTCAGTATGAAGATGATCCTTTAGTGGAATCGTTCAATATCTACATGAAGATTTTCTTGAGTCAAGCCCTGGAACCAGGCTTCTTGAATGCTATAACAACCAATGGTGGTAAGATTCTCCAGTCTCATCACAGTTACTCTTGAATGACAGGGGAAAAAATTCTGCTTTTGACTTACTTCTCCAACATAAAGTTAAAAAAAAGGAATTTATTTAGAAAATAGATTTCAAATGAGCTTTGATAATATCCAAATGGATGACTGTACAACTAACTTTGCATGTCCTTTCTTGCCCAAACACAGATTTTTTATTAAAGCAGTAAATGTTTTATTAAAAGGTATATTATCTTTTGTTCAAAAAGCTGTTGTTTTCAAAGCTCAATGAAGAAGAATAGTTAGACAGAGACAACTCTAAAGAAGATATTGCTTGTCAACAGAGATTGTTATGGACAAAAGGCTGGTTGTAAGTAAAGTTTTCAGGTAAATACGCACAGATATCAATTTACCTATGTTAGTACTTATATCTGTGAGTGTTTACTTAAGAAAAGATTACTTTAACCTTACTACACACTGCAATAATATTCCACAAGTTTAATTAGGTACCTCCATGAGATCGCTAAAAAAAGAGCATAGCATGATGAAAAAGACGCCAAATTTGATGAAAACAAAAAGTTATCGTCTAAATGTTTATATTATTATTAAGAGGAAAGATCAAAGTTTATTTTAATTATTTTTTTAAATTTTCCATTTTTTTTTTTTTTTTTTTTTTTTTTTTTAGAACATTCTAAATTTTGATTAAAAAAAACCTTGTTTCTCTTTGTATCACCAGAACTAGTAAAATAACATTTTAAAATAACGATTTTTAGCATGTTGTTTTTTTTTTTTTGTGTGTGTGTGTGTGTGTGTGACACACATTAGTTTGGAAAATCTTGCAAAAATAAAAATAATTGTCAGATGTTAATTAAACTTTCAGAAACTATTCACAGATGATTGAAATTATTATAAATATGTTTTTTTGTTTTTTTTATTAAAGTCATGGCAGAAATATTTTTTTTATATTTATTCCCCCTAATCTTAGGAAAATGCTAGAAATTGATCGCGTCAGGTTTAGTGATTACAATAGTTACGCAAGGCTTTGAGGAATGCAAATCATTTTTTTTTTTTTTTTCATTGGACCTCCCTACCTGAAAATCAGCTCTGAATTGTAAGATACAAAACTCAATAAAACAAAGATATTATTTAATTTCAAATGTTTTTATTTGCTTTTATGAATATGGACAATATTTTCTGAAAGCAAAAAATTTTTCAAAGAAAAATGAATTTTTAATACAATTATTTGTTATTTTTTATAGATTTTTACATTTAAGTTGTTAAAATATTATAAAATTAGTTAAAAGCCACATCGGGTTTCCTAAGTGTCCTTCTTTCTTTAGCACGTTGTAAATTGTGTCATTTTGACTAATCGGAAGATCCGCAGTAATTAAGAAATGTAATTTTGTTTATAATCAGGCTGTAATTATAAAGTACGGAAGACCAACCAGAATACAATTAAGTTGCGTTATTTGAGTTAAGCATTGTTCTCTGCTGTTAAGGCCTTTACTTTTGTGAAACACATGTGGAGAAGTTAATTTGATTTTTCAATTTCAACTGAGAAGGGTACCTACAAGTATCAGTATCATCTTATGAAATTTATATGATCTTTTTATATTAATCTCAGTTATGGCATTTTTCCATAAATGAAATATCAAAATTAATAAAATGAATGGAAATACAAATAACACAGTAAAATGTAATAAATGTACATAAAATTATAGTATTTTATGTACACTTCTGATAAAATTTCATAAGAAAAGTACCTATAAATTAATTAGATACCTTTCTTATGAAATATTTTAATTTCTTTAATATATTTTCCATAAAACATCATAAACGTAAAGGTGAAAGCTAAAAAAAACAAAAAAAAATTAAAGCACTGAAAGTTTTCCTAAAAAATAACAAGGTAAATAATTTGTTAACTTAAATGTAAATAATTTCACTTTTCTCCTTTCATAGAACAAATTATCCTCATGGAATCCATCAATATGTCATTCATCACCTGTCAAGTGACGTGAAAGTTTATGACATGCTTTATTTTATTACATCTTTATGGTACCAAAGCTAAGTTAAGCTTGGTTCAAAATAAACATTATAATTTCTGATTTTCTTTAAGTTTTGAAAAAATGATAATTGATATCTAAAAGAATTTCAAAGGGAGATTTTCAGTTTTTTATAAAATGGAAAAAAAAATGGTCAATTTTGCTGACTCAAAAAAAACAAGATTTTTAGCGAAAATTTCGGACGTGCTAGGAATGATTAAAAAATGTAAAAAAAATACCCCCAAAATACTTTGATCTTTCCTCTTAATAATAACAAACATTTAGACGATAAAATTGTGTTTTCGTCAAGTTTGGCATCTTTTTCTTCATGCTATGCTCTTTTTTTAGCGATCTCATGGAGGTACCTAAGTTTAATTAAATTAAAAATTAATATTTATAATTTCTGGAATGTGTTTCTAGCTAAAAGAGTCCCACTTATTCATGTTTTGAAATCAAATTTTATTTAGTTTTGTTTACTTGGTACAAGTGACTTTAACTGTTTTTACCTGTTCAATATTTTTGTTAATTCGTTTCTTTCATCAGTGATAGGAATTAATCAATTTCTTTATATTGAGGATGCTCTGGCTCCAAAGACATAACACAGTTTTGATGTAAAAAAAATTTTGAGCAAAATAATTAAACTTCAGTTTGTAATGTTAAAATTATATTATAGAACCTTCCAAATTAAAAGCCTACCTCATTTCTCTAGAAATGAACTTCTCTTCTAAGATGATGACTAAACTGGATTTTCCTGTTGCCTTTTTGCAATTGCCAGAAAAGTTTTTTCATATTCTGCCTTAATCAGAATTTGATTCCAATCACAATGAGCTCAGCTCCAAGAGTTCATTTATCCAGATAGCATCTCTCCCATTGCAGCAAGAGGAGGAGAATCAGTCAATACCTTGCTATTCAAAAGGTTTTGAGTGAGCTAAGGTCACTCAAAACTTTGTTTTTATTAATTTTTGCTATGAATATCACATACTTTGGATTTCTATTTTAGATATGAACTTCTACCAAATTCTTTCTGTGGATATATAGTCATTTTGATGCCACTGTTAACTAGGGACACCTTGCTGAGTTAGCTCTTTGCTATATTATTAATATAGGGACCTCCACTAATTCACAATATCTAAGATTTAAAATGAAAAAAAATGAAAAGGCTTTCTTGAAGCTTTCATTTTAGCTTTAATTGAAAGCTAAAGGATTAAATTTACTATTTCTAGTTAGCCAATAATCTGGTGTATTTCAAACAGAAATTATATTGATTGGAATTGTATTTTTTAATTTTTTTTTTTTTTTTTGCTAAAATAGCTGAGTACTGCCCTTTTTTTAGTTGTCTTTCATATTAACAATACCATTCTCTTTATTAAAAAATCTTCCAAAAATAAAAGATACTTTTTGAAATTTTATTTGAGGAATATTAGCTGATTTAAAGTATAATTAATCTTATTTAAAGCAAATATTAATTTAAGTTTAAAATACAAAAATGTATTTTTAAAACAAACAGTAGCCATATTTTATGTGATTGATGAATGCTGATAAATGATGACATTGATTGTTGTTCTACAGAGACTTTGTGTAAAACATAATTTAAGAAAATGATGTGAGTGCCTTTTTTATATAATTTTAGGAATGTTGACTTTGAATTTACTGTAGTCATCACTCTTATTTTCTGATAATGTTGTCTATGGTTGATGATACTTTCAAAAATGGGCATGTAACATAATATCTTATATACATGAAAGAAAAAATTTTAATTACTTAAAAATCTTGGTGCATGATGATTTGTATTAATCTTTTCAATTTTTCATTAGTAAATATAGTTTTCACTTAATAACAATATCACCTAATTAAAGTAATGCAGAATTTTAAGATTTTTAAAAAAATTATTCTAATAAAAATTTTAAAGAAATGGAAACAATTCTTGTAAAAATTCATTATTTATTGAAAAAATTTTTTTTCTTCAGTGTCCTTAATAAATTTTATTCATAAAAGCAATTAAAATCTTTTCTAATTAAATAATGTTATGATTTTATTGCACTTCTATTTTATGATTCAGAGCAAATTTTTGGAAAATGTGTAACTGTTTGAAGAAAAAAAAATGGATGATTTACATTCTCCAAGGAGTCCTGCATTTAACTAATAAAAAAGTTTACAATCAAAATTTAATTTCTTGAAATTTCATGAAATTAAGTAGAGAATAACATGTTGGAAAAAAATATTTTTACCAAGATTTTCTAAAAATAATAATTTCAAAAATAATTTCATTTATGAATAAGTCCTAAAAGTTTCATTAAAATCCAAGAATTATTTGATTTTTGCAACAATTTCCAAAACAATATTTTATTTTTTATATGCTAAAATACCCATAGTAATCTTTGGTCCACAGTTAATGCAAAAAGAACAAGAATGTGATAGAAAGTATTAAAAAATTTAATAAAAAATACTTTGCTCCTTCCTCTTAATAATTACATAAACATTTTGGCAATAAAACTTTGTTTTTATTAAGTTTGAGGCCTTTTTTCATCATGCTGTGCTGTTTCTTCTATAAATTAGTTGAGGTACCTATATTAATAACCCTTTGCTATATTCTTTTTAATAGCTCTTTGCTATATTCTTACTGAAAAATATTATTTGCTCATTTAATCATTAACATATAAGATGTAGTATCAAATTTTGTGACTTATTTCAGGGTGAAAAATGTCATCTTTGAAACTGGGGAATGAAGTGAAATGCAGTCCAAAAGTTTTTCTTCTTACACAAAATATTTTTCAAAGTAAATTTATTGTCAGAAAAAGTGATTTTGCTTTTGTGTTGCATTGATTTTTTTTTTTTTTTTTGTTTGTCTGTTTTGTTTCAGATAATTTTTTTCTCAAGCCACTGCAAACTGTTGACAGTCTGATAGATCTAAAAGTTGATGAAATTGAGTCCAAAGTTCAATGGAAGTCAAAATTCAAAGTAAGCCATTTGTCTAAAATAAAATGTTTCATCTCTAATTGATTTTGATAGTGAATGAAAGTAGAAAATGTCTTCAGTTTTTCATGTTTAAAATTAAAACTGTTCATATTCTTCACTCTATTAGAGGCTAAAGAGTTTTTGACTAAGTTTAGTCTAGTACAAAGCCACAAAAGTAGAGAATTAGTATGATCAAACATACAAGTGAATTGATCAGTATGATGAGCTTACTAAACATTGCTCTATGAAAGGTGCCAGCAGGATTTTTCCAAATATGTCAATATTTATATAAGACTACATGGATATAATGATAGCTTTGTCTGGTACAAGACAACAATAATAGGGCACACAGTGAGGATTAACCTCACTATATTAACCATTTGATCAACAAGACAATCTTGTTAACTATTGCTGTAAGGTAAGCTCTCTCAAAGACAAAATGTTTTTTTACTTTTATTAAAATTGATTTTAGTACATGATTCTCTTTCGAGATAAGCTGTGGTGGGTGAAAAAGAAAGTGATAATTTTAATTTCTCTGGCAAGAAAACCTTTTACTTAGTTCCAGATAACCATTATTCATCAGTCTATTCTGTATTCAATACAGAATTCACCTCTCTTGAATTGTAACCATATTCATTAAATTTCTTGTCAATATTCTGCACATTTATCAGAAAAAGCTCTCTTTATCTTTGTTGTTTTTATCCAACTAATTAAAAAATTTGTGATCTTTAGCCTTCTTCATATTTGATGGTCTGCAGAAATTGTTTGGTATTTTTCTTTAGCTTTTCCAGCTTCCTAAATGACAAAAAGTATTGATTTCTAAAGATATCTGGTGCAACATATTCCTGATGCATAATACAAAGTGTGACAGAAATACTTCCCACATAATAGTAAGACATCCACTAATGTCTTACCATTATGTGGGAGATATTTCTGTATAAAAAAAAAACACTTCAACTTTAGACAAAAGTCAATCCATGTTACTTTGTAGTTTTGTTTAATAAAAAAAATAATATTTTTCAATAGAATATTGTGTATAGAGATTTGTCAGTTGATGTGTGTATATCTTACAAATCTGAAAGAATGCTTATTTGAACATGTAGGTGTTTTTTGGGAGGGGATGGTTAACTAGTTTTAAAAAAACATTTCCTATTGAATATACATGTGTATGTTTGGTCAATTGATATGAATGACTAAAATTAAAAGAATGACTGAATTAAATAAAACTGCACTGAAAATGAAAGAAAAAGATTTTGTGATGAAAAAAAAAAAATTTACTCATTATTTCAAAAAGATCAAAATTCATTGTTTTTAAATTTGGAAAGTCATTAACATGCCAAGCTTTGTTTGAATGGTTAAACACATTTGTGAAGTTGATAGATAAGATGAAACATTCTAACAATGTCAATAGTACAAAGAAAGTGTTTGAGTATCCAAACAAAACCTGGAAAAGTCAAAATTCTTTTAAAAATTATAACAATGATGCAGAAGCCATTGTGCCCAGAAATGGAGATTTGCCACTCAATAAATATTTAAAAAAAAAATTTTTTTTTTTTTAAATAATAAAGGATGAAGACAATTCTGATAAATATAAGGGTACGGTTGGTCACTTTTATCTGAGTGTGCCCATTTGCTAGAGTGGCTTAGTAATTCCTGTTGTAGACACCCGTTCAGGCACATTTTTTTTTCTTCAATTCCCAAAGAGTGAACATGTCATTTATACTGCAACTATGCTGTGGGACCTTAGTTACACTTTCTGAGGGAGAATGCATAGTCTGGTATGATCAACAGTTTGAACATGGTCAATAGGCTAATATGCTCAGACATGTAGTGACTTTTGACTTTGTGCTAGCACAACCATCAGTGGCTTACAAACGGTTCCATCTATTTAACTTCACTCACAAGGCTTGAGGTAACCAATGCAATGGTTTTCAGGAACCTTCCAGCAGTGCCACATGCTGGAATCATCTTCCAAGGCCAATATTATCAAGAAGTTACCTGACAAATCACTCAACTCTAGTCTCATGGTCAGAATACTAACATTCTAACCACTTGACCATACACCCACAAATAAATAATCAATATTAGATTAAGAAACAAAAATATTGGTTGATTTTCTTAATGTACACTATTTACATTATTCAGACTATTGTCCTCATCATTGTTGCCATATTTATTACAATGTTTCAGCCGTTGTACACTCCGACCTTCTTCAGGTGGTTGGAATGTCAAACTGAACCCTTTATTTCGCTCACTGGGGTAGACTGTTCTAGTTCCACATGCCATGTTTAATGGATGTCAGTTATCAGTTATTTCCAAGTTCTCCACTACCTTAACCAGGTATTGAACTCACACTCTTTGGGTCTTGTGACTGGATCTAACCAACACTGAGCCATGTGTCCTTGAGGACATCTGTGTATGAATTTCTGGGTATTATAAACCTAATGTCTTCAGAAACCATTTTTACCAGTGCTCATATTGCAATTTTTGCTGTTATCATTACATGTTCTTACCAGAGCTCATGTTGCAATTTTTGTTGTTATTATCGCTTTTCTCTGGCACTCCTTATTACTGGTTCCCATATTGTATTCATTTCTATGCTTGGACGGCTCAGGAGATTTTTGTGGACTAGCATATGTGCTGATTCCTTAAATTTACAAAATTTTCCAATCGATTTTCTTAATGTTTATTTATATCCTCATCAGAATTAATAGAAATTACTTTCTGTATTTATTTATAAGTATTTATATAAGCAAAATAAAGAAAACACAAAATCAATTGGAGTAAAAACTACTAAAACTTTAGACATATTTAATGAATATTTCAGAAGAATAGATTGGATCAGTCATATAATAATTACTAGTTAAAGTTTTGAATCAAAAATCAAAGTTTTTCATGCCTGTGTAGATTGTTGGGTTCTTCATAAGCTTTTTCTCACATCAATGGGGTTTACTTGGTGGTGACCATCTCTTTTTGAAATGACATGCACAGTTACCAGCAGCAGGGAGTAAACCCTGGCTTATTTGTTTGCGAGGGGTGCTTTGATGCCTTTCCTAACCACAATAAGGCAAATTGAATGTAAACAACCTCTGTCAGAATTTGAACCCAATTTGCTAATTCCTTTTTCTGTTTCATTAACCATTTGGCAAACCTTATAGTTTTAAAGTTTCCAATACTGCATTTTAATGATAGTACCAGTGTTGGGATACTTACTGCATTTTAATGATAGTACTACTATTTATTGTGTTTCAGTGTTGGTAACAATACTGTTATAAAGTAGAATAGTAATGATAATGTGAACAAACAAGTTTTTCTACTTTTATCAGTATTGGTTCTTGAAACTTATTTAAGATAGATCAATTACAAAAACACGTCTTTTTTTTTTTTTTTTTTTTTCTAAAACCTGAAATAAGCAACAAACATCTTGTAAGTAATCAATATCAGATTCACAAGTGAGAATGATGACTACTTGTTATTTTGATGTTTATTCTTAAGACCCGATAAAAGTGACTTCTGTCGATGGTTAATTGTACAGGCTGCATATTCTGTAGAGATGTAATAAATTTAACTTTTCACACACACACACATATATATATATATATATATATATATATATCTCGTGTATTGTACATAAGTTTCTAAATAGTAACAAAATAACAGGCATGTTTGCTAAAATAATTTTAATATCTTAACCATCACTTTGTTTATCCTAAGTGTCATAAGCAAAATTTTATCCCCAACTCCATAAAGGTTAAGAAAAAAATAATTTCTTCCTGATGTATTTAATAAATATTCTAGATGATGCATGAAGATGTTAATGAACTATGAAAATTTACTGTTTCACATTCATTATTTATCTTCTCTTTCAGGAATGCTTGAAGATGAAGCCTGTACTAAGAGAGCTTGACCGACCAAATCTGAAGCAATCCTGTCAGGTAAATCTTTCTTTGCTGTTCCAAACCATCATTCTACTTGCCTTGTTAGTACAATGTCCTTCTCTCATTCAAATTTTGTTCTTTTTGTTCACTTTTACTCCCAGTAGCCCCTTGTGTCTTAGTGGCATTATCACCTTACTTGCGGGTGAATTAAATGATTATTTATATATATATATATATATATATATATATATATATATATATATCAGTTTAAACATTATTTTTTGTGAATACTCATATTTGAGTAGATGCTCCATTTATTTATTAAACAGTATATTTATTTATTTTCTGGCCTGAATATTATGCAAATCTCATTAAAGAAAGATATGCACTTTCTGGCACAATTGAAACAGGCAGAGAGGAACCATTGTTAGATCCACCATACCTTAACTGACTAGAACACAGAGCAGCCTTGCTGATCAGGCAAAGTCTGAAGTATGCCTTTAAGCAAAATCATTCTCGTATTAATTTACCCAAAATTTTCATATCTGCTCAGTTTCTTATCCAAACATAAAGTAATTTTCTAAAGTAATAGATTTTTCTTTATCGATCTTACATATTTTTATAACTTTAAACATTTAGTTGTTTTAAGTATATCAAATCTAATGATGGTTTCCCTCTACCTAGAGAGATGAAGGTTTGAATCTTGCTGGAGAGTGCATATTTTTTTTAATGTGATTTTTTTGAATATTCAAGCCAGTAGACAAAATATATAAATAAATATACTGCTAAATAAATAGAGCATCTACTCAGTATGAGAATCCACTAAAATGTTTTTACAGTAGCCTAAGAAAAGTTTTTAGACAGGAGAAATAAGCTACATCCAATTTCAAAATTTAATTACGTAATCCCTATTCAACATAAATAAACTATTTGGAACTAGTATGGAGTAGGTCTTTCATTTGCTAGTTTCAGTGCTTGTATTCGATTTTTCATGGATTTGATCAAGTTATCAACAATCGTCTGATTCATATTTTGCCACTGACATGCTCTCAAAGTTTTTGGTGAAGGTGCTCCCAAATGTGCTCTATTGGATTCATATCAGGACTATAGGCTACCCATGGCAGTGACTTGATTCCTTGCAATTCCTTCCAGGCCTTTGCTACTTTACTCGCATGACATGGTGCTCCATCTTCTTGATAAAGGTAGACATTCATGTCAATCTGATTGGTTTCAAATAGTGAAAGTATTCCTTTCTCCAATATTTTGACAGTATTTTGGACCATTCAACTGCTCATCAACAAGAATCGGCTCAGATTTCCCTCCAAACCAGATAGCGCCCAACACCATTACTCCAATCCCTCCATGTTTGACAGTCGCCTGTTTCCAAACATAAACCTATCTCAAATTCGAATATTGGCAGAATTTACTTTCATCTGACCATATTACAGACTGACAAAATTCATAATCTTTGCTTTCGAATTCTCTTGCCCAGTCCATACGCCTCTTCCTGTTAACCTCTGAAATCAAGGGCTTCTTTCTTGCAACTCTTCTTTGATAGTCAAGCTCTTTCAGAGTCTTTCTCACTGCATATGGTGACATTTCCATGCTGTTGACAATATCTTTGATGCTCTGACAACGGTTTCTGATGACTTCCATCTTCAGTGCCCTTTTCGTTCATTCAGACTCGATGCTTGCTCTTCCTGAACGTTGTTCCACACAACAATGGCCTTCTTCATTAAATTTCTTGACAATATTATTAATCGTTTGATGATTAACCTTGAAAAATCTATCAATTTCTCTATTTGACTCACCACACTGATGCTATCCTATTATTTGCCCTCATTTAAATTCACCAATTTCCTTACTTTGCGAACTTTCATTGCAAAATATAAGTCAACTATCATTCATAGATTAGAGTAGCTTGATACTAACACAGTATTGTCTGAAAAAAAAAAGAAGATACATTATTACACAAGCCAAAATTGTTGTAATTAAGGGTGGCTAAAAACTTATCATAGCCCACTATATATATAAAATGTATGTATGGGTATAATTTTATATGTATATTTTATAAATTTTTGACACTTAGAAATGCTATTGAAAGTATATTTGTTTATAAATATATCTGATAATGCATTTCATCGTTTAAGGCTTCATTACATCCAAAAGTGAAAGAATGATGTGTATTTGTGTGTATGTTTAAATAATGAAATCTTAGTACTAAGCTGGCATTTCTCGTGACTAAAGAAGAAAAAAAATGAGTGACTTTTAAAAAAAAATCGTTAACATTTCTTTACTCTAAGTTCAAGTTGAAAGTTGTTATATATTTACTCAAATTTCTGTATTGGATTAAAGATAAATCCTCTTCTCTTTATCAGAATGGCTCGAAAGTAAGAAATTTATTTAACCTGTTCTGAAAAGGGATCCAAAGTAAATCCTCATATAATCCTTCAGAATGTAAAAGATTTGTTTGTTTTTTTTTTCTCGTTTATCCAAGTGTTTTCTGTGTTGACAGTATCTTTTAAAATTAGAATACATAATCCCAACAAAGTTTTTTTAAAATTTTTGACAATTGGAAATGTTCATGAAAGTAGATTAGTTTAGAAATAAATCCGATAATGTATTTCACCGTATAAGGCCTCATTACATCTGAAAGGGAAAGAATGAAATGCATATATGCATATTTCAGATCTAATGAAGCCTTAAATGGAAATCTTTTATATATATATATATATATATATATATATATATATATATATATATATATATATTATAATAGTTCTGTTGTATTACATTGAGCACTGTTTTATTAACACCAGCACTATATGTGCAATATATTATAATTATATATATATATTGTGGAAAAAGTTGAATTGTAACACATTTTGTCCTTTTTGACTTCAATGGACTAAATTTTGTTATGTTGGTAGGGCTACACATGCACACAACAGAGGAGTGGTGGGAATTTTTTTAAAAATATGTTATTATTGTTGTTTTATCTAGCAGAATTCATTTAGTCTTTTTCTTTCCATCACTTTTGTAAATAGGTATTCCACACTGTGAAATTAGATCTGCCAGGAATGGTGAAATGCTGTAAGAGCCAGGGTGCAAATTTACTGTAGATGACCTTGCGATTCAAACACTCTCTAGGCATTTACATCATAGTGAATTATTTCTCCTTTGATCAGAGTAGCATTTATTTATTAAAATTGTGGTCAATCTAAGGTGCATATTCTTGGAGCTCTTAAGTAGAAACCACTGATTATGCCAAATTTTATTTTGTTGTTATGATGAGAATAGAAATTTATTAGGTCATTTTTATTGGTTGATCTCCAATGGACACCAAGTTTTAAACTGTTGTTAATGCAGTGTAGCTTGATATCTGGGAAGGGTAAGGAATTGTGTTCTTCTATTTTGTATGTATTTCCATTGTGTATATTATTTACATTATTCGGACTATTGTCCTCATCTTTGTCGCCATATTTATTACAATGTTTCGGCCGTTGTATACTCCGGCCTTCTTCAGGTGGTTGGAATGTTGAACTGAACCCTTTATTTGCTCAGAACAGTTGCCATGAAAATATTTGTAGAAAAGACAGAGGGAAGTCATATTACGTCTGTGAGAAAGTGACTGATGTCAAGATGGCAGGTTAGGATCAATTACATTGCAGATCCTTCTTTGGATTCTGTTGAGAACCTCAAGACGAACAGGAGGGGCACCAGACCAGATATGGCAACAGTATTCAATGCAAAGATGAATGGTAGATTTGTATATGTGTAAGGTGGACTCTGAAAAATCTTCTGGCACAATACAGAAAAACAACTTTTATTGCAGTAGATGCAACTATTGATTCAATGTAGTTCCACCTCAAGTCAGTCGAAAATCAGTTTAGTGATGGCTGAGTTAGATAAATGCTTCCAATGATCAGTGTTAAAATCCAGGTAATAATTAAGGATTTCAAATGATTTTCAGAGTAGACAGCTCCTTCCCACTTGATAGCACAATGCACACTCTGCCTCTTACCCTCTCATTTCATTCCATTTTTCAGATATTGACATAAATTCACACCACTGAATCAAAGGAGGTTAATATGAGGCTACAAAGTAGATTATTTAAGAATAATTTCCTAAAAATATTCAGTAAACAATTATGAATTGGAAATTAAAATATCTGGAGAAATGCTTTGTAAAATATCAAGATTGTGCAAATTAAACAGTAAAGGTTTTAATGTTTTTATTTTTTTTTTCAACCAGGAAGATTTATTCAGAATTGCTTCACTTCTTTTTTATTTTCTTTTCAAGTAAAAAAAGAAAATTAGTAATTAGTCTCTCCATTTCTAAAGAATTTCTTTCTTATCTGAATTTTCATTATGCTTTTCTTTTTTTTTTTGTTAAACTTTGATTTGAAATATTTTATTTTTATTGATTTAGGCATGTGAAAATGCTAGTCAACCTGCCATAAAGTCCATCCATTTATATGGTCAACCTTATGACCTGTTTAATCTAGGAGAACAAACAGTGGATCCTGGAGAGAATGCCGCTGTTGCACAGGTAACAGAACTCCTTTGCAAAAATTTTTTTTCTCCAAATTTGCAATTATTTTTGTTCAACAAATTATAAATGATTTTTGGTTTTTGTTTTTATACAAAGTAGTGCTTTATTTTGTATTGACACAAATTGAGAATACTTCCCTCCTCCTTCAACATACCATGTTCCTTTAGGATGTTGGCAATCATGGGTCTCCACAACTTCCCATCTTATTCTGCCAAGAATTTACACAAGGTCGTTAAGAACTTTATTTGCTGCTTTCCTAGTTGCCTCTTGCCTTCAATATGGCCTTCTTTCCTCAGAAATTTCAACTGCTTCTTTCTGATTCTAAGTGTAAGTGTCTTTTTGTTTCCCTTTTCTCAGCATCCTTCTGTAAAACCACATTTCTCTTGCCTTGAGTTTCTTCATCTGTAAGATGATTGTCCAGCATAGGAGGACTGATATTACATAACTTCAGTAATATTTTCTTTGTTTCTAGTGAAATTTTCATGTTTCTTAATACTTTGCTTAGCTTTTGGGAGGTACCATTTGCTATTCCAATGCCCAATGTTGCATTTTCCATCCTCTGTTAAAACATTTCCTAGATATTTAAATTTTAGTACTTGATTTTGCTTTCTCCAATTCATAGTTTGCATTTTGGGCTGTTCCTCTTGCTTACAATTGATGATTAGTCCTTTCTTCTCATTTTCCTCCACTATCTTTTGTAAGAGCTCCTATTGTTTCCTTTCTGTGTCTGCTATCAATACCCTGTCATCTGCATATAAGGAATCACTTCTCTCTCTAAGCATTCTTTTCAGTATATATCTCCCTCATCACACATTTTTCATCCTCTGAGGGATAGAAAATGTGATGACTGAAGACATTTATGTTTGTTGAAATTTATATTTGACATTTTGTTAATTTTTTTCATGTAAATTTTGTGTGGTCAAAGAAATTGTGATAATTTATCTGAGAAATGCCTTTCACTTGAACCATTTTCTACTTTCAGGAATTTATGATAGGCAAGACAGCTGCTATGTATGTTGGCTCCTATCACAGCTTATACCATTTTAAGTACCATCTTTATGAACGATGTTTGGCTAAGGTAAGACAAAACAAGAGATTAAATATGTACATTGTAATTGCTATCTTCTAAGATGGTCTGATATTATGGATAGACATCCAAGTTCCCATTTAAAAACATAGTCAAATATGCTTCTTATTGTCCAACAAATGCACTAATTCCTTTTAATAAATTATAGTAAAAATCAGCACTAAAGAAAAAAAAAGAAAAAAATTCTCTTTCCAGGAAGACAAATGACAATAAACTGCTATGTTCCTCAACTTTAAACTCTGTCTTTTCACTTTTAACATCCTTTCATACTTCTTTATTGTGTTATTTACTGAAAATACTCAGCACACATCATGAGGGAATATTGTTTGGGAGTGACAATGAGTGTTACAGCAAAGACCATAAAATTAGTTTTCTTTTTTCCTAATTCTGGGCATTTTTGCTCAATTCTTTGCTTTGTTATAGAAAATTCTAAACAATATTCCAATATCATTTTTGAAGATTTTTGTTTCTGTATTTAAAAACTTCGATTTTTGCCACTTTTTCTGCAAGGTTGCTAAATATTTCAGTTATCTCCCCTTGATGAATTTTTCTTTCCTCTTCTGCCTTTCCATTTAATAATGCATGTCAATATGTCTGATTGATTTTTCTGACATATCAACCCTTGTTGGATTTTGTATGTGGCACTCGCATAATAGTAGTAACCAGACAATCCTTGCTAACCAATATAAGCTCATATTTTCATAGAATGTCTGTTTACATGCCCATTATGTGATTTTCTGTTGTAGGTGAATATTATAAAAGAAAGTGGAAATCATTTGGAAAATAGTGAAATCATAAACCATTGTCTTCAGAACAGAGCTTGGGTTCTCAAGGTGAGCATGATTTTTATGTTTGAGACATTTGACAATATTAAATAGTTTTTTGCTAAAAGGTACACTATTGGCCAAAAGTTCTGGGTTTTGAAAATTTGCCTAAAAATTGAAGGCTGCATGCCTTTTTCAAAAAAAAATTTACTAACCAGAAGGACTTTTTTTTTTTTTTTCCTCAAGGGTTTCATCATATATTCAGTAATAGTAACAAAATTAAGCTATTACTGCATAAAGTTTCTTTAAATTTTTGCCTAATCTGCCTAATCTTAGGGCTGGCAGATTTAATATTTTAGGTAACCAATTCTTTAAAATAATTGGACACTATGCACTAATAGGTTAATTACTTTTAGCAGTCCTAGCTTAGTAGGAGTTCATTAAACCAAAGGCAGTATGGAACTTATAAATTATTAAATCCAGATGGTAGATCCAAATTTTTGACCTATAGTGTAGCAATAAAATCAAACTAAGCAGCTTCAGATTCTGATTGCTATATTCATGCTATATTTTGTTTATTTGAAAGATCTTGTGGAAAGCTTTGATTGTGACAGTTGTAATAACAATTCACAAACACTAAAGCATCATAAATAAATGCTTAGAAGAAAAAAACACTTGCTTAATATAAAAAAAAAAACAATAGGGACTTTTATTTTTCATCTTCATTTAATCTGGAAAATTTATTTGCTTTTGTATTTTCAGCTTTTTGAAGATTTGAAGACTTTACTTGAAAAACGATGAAAGCGTCCAGTTTTGTGAATGAACCAGTAGATAGGCAGACAGACTGATGTACAAATTTCCATTCTGAGAGAAAGGGTTGTGTTATAACTCTGCCAACAGTGACCAGAATTGGGGTACAGAGAAAAGAAACTAAATACCAAATTGTAGCAAGTTGCTGCTAAGAACTGCTGCTCTCCTTCCAATTTTCCTTGTAGATTCATCTTCACTTCTTCCTCTTTTCCTTGTCCTTCTCTTCCTCCTCCTCCTCTCCTCCTCGGTCTCAAGTCTTTGCTTATCAACAATTTGAAAAGCAGCCAAACAATTATTCATGAATCCTGTGATTCTGAGTTTATACAATAAACTTCCAATCACAGATTTCATAAAATCAAATTAAAATTATACATTACTATTACTACTATTACAATTATTGCTATTACTGCTACAACCGCTACTATATAAGCAAGCACACATGTTTGTACATGAATACAAAGTCCTTTTTATTAGAGAAATAAAACCATTAGTGAGATAAAAACTGAATTCTGTATTCATAAAAGAAATGCAATTCACTTCATTTCTTGACAAGAGCAAATCGGTAGAAGTTCGACAAGAAAATACCTCGACTGTAAATTTGTGGGACTTTGATAAATTAGGTTCTCTTTCATTTAACAAAAGCCAGAATTTAAATTCCTGGTTATTAAACCAAAAGGATTAAAAAAAAAACAAAAGACAATTGCATATTACCAGTTGTAGATGTTACTCATCAAAAAATAAATTTCATTGTTAATTTTTCTGGTTTTTATAATAATGGAAAAAAAAAAACTTCTGACCTGAAATATTTTTTATTTCCCTTTGTTGTACCTGGCATTACAAAGGGTTAACCAGTTTTCTTATTCAAAATTCTAATGGATGGCACTTCAACCACAGAAGCATAAGCACACGGCAATTCCTTATTTTCTTTTCTCTGACAAACATATAATCAGACAAAGACATTTTATCTCACTTTTCTTTTTTTGTCTTCATTTTTCTAAACCAAAAAAAAAAAAAATAGACACTTTGAATTGATTTTTATTTTTTTTTTTTTTTTTTTTTAACATTTAAATTTGTACTTGTATTGAAAATGTTGCCGACTTTTTGAGTGTTTTGGTTACATATAAAAATGTATCTGGTTTTCTTTCTGGTATATTCTTTACAAATGTCACAAAATATACTTATATTTCGACACCAAACAGAAATGGCATTATCTACTTTTTTTTTTTTTTTTTTTTTAAATTTCTTCTTCAAATATAACTTATTCATTTCTTTATCTTTTTGTTTTGTTTCTGTTTTCTGAAGTTTTATAAATAGAATGCAAGGAATCGATCTGTGAGTGAATGTTGCTATGTATTGTACATTCTCTCTATTAGAAGACGTGTTCTTCTAGTTGTCTCCTAAATTTGGTGAAATAGATTTAAAAATAAAAATATTATAATGAAGAAGACTAGGAGAAAATATTTTAACCTGCCAAAAAGTCGAACACTTCAGTTTTTCAGATAGGAAGATAATTTCTGGAAACACATTTTCTGCAAAATCATTTTTCTCTTTGGCTGAAGTTTTATTAAATTGGCTTTAAACAAATCTGTAAAGGATTACAGAAAGTTAATAATTCATTTGTAAAAAGAAATTTCATTTTAGCTTTACAGTGATTGTTAAAAAAAAAAAACAAGGATTTCAGATTGTTTCAATGTGTTTATTTTTATGAGCTGAGCCACTAAATCCTGATGTTACTTACAAAATTTGGGTTTGTTTTCCCTTGAGAAGAGAAAACAGTAGATAAATGGTTGCTGTCAACAGGATCATAAGGTTCCAAGCAAATAGAAATCCCAAGTGAATGTCCAAACACTGAGAAGATATTTCAAAATAATATACTCAAATTTAGTGTTTTAATATCAGACACATTTTCATAGTTTGGTGGCGGTAGAGGTGGTGGTGGTGGTGGTGGTATGAATATATTTTTCCTGTAGAATAACAGCCAAATTTTTGTGGAAGATAGACAATAAAAAGCTGGACCTAATATCACCCTTTTATATATATATATATATATATATATATATATATTGTGTGTGATAAGGGACAGATAGGAAATGTTTATAAATTTAACATGTTTCACATTTATTTAAGCTTCATCAGAAATTAAATATAGAAGAGAAAGTTTTCATATTTTTTAGTTTTGTGTTGTTTGTTTTTCATCGGTTAAGTAAACCTCATGTATTTGTTTTGCTTGGTAGCATTCATTCATATAATTCTTGTGTGTTTGTGTATCATAATTCTAGCTGGTCTATACAAGATTTGCTGGATAATTTGTGCAGGTCTGTGCATTTCTGTTTGGTAGTGTACGTATGTTGATGGGGGATGTTTTGTGTGGGAATGAAAGAATGTAGGTTTTACCAGTTGTAGCTGTGGGTAATCTGATCGTAGATTCTTTCAATATGGATTTTATGAAAGTGGGTGATATAATAGTGGGTTTGGCATGTGTTGATCGATGGGGAAAATATCAACATTCCTTCTAAGTATTTTTCTATGTAATACACATACTTTATTACAATTAAATTGCTTAGTAGGGATCCTGATAAATATTTTCCAATTGATAAACACACACCAAGCACTTTATTATATCACAAATTTTCATGAAATTCACACTTAAAGAATCTAAGATCAGATTACCCACAGTCACAACTGGGGAAACCTAAATTATTTCACTATCATACAAAACCTCCTCCAATCAACAACATGGACACTACCAGACAGAAACAAAATGTCCACTACCAGACAGAAACAAAATGTCCACTACCAGACAGAAACAAAATGTCCACTACCAGACAGAAACAAAATGTCCACTACCAGACAGAAACAAAATGTCCACTACCAGACAGAAACAAAATGTCCACTACCAGACAGAAACAAAATGTCCACTACCAGACAGAAACAAAATGTCCACTACCAGACAGAAACAAAATGTCCACTACCAGACAGAAACAAAATGTCCACTACCAGACAGAAACAAAATGTCCACTACCAGACAGAAACAAAATGTCCACTAGACACATGCATATGCATATTATCAACCAAATCTCACATAGACCAACTAGAATTATGATACACAAACTCACAAGAATTATACACATGAATGCTACCAAACAAAACAAATACACAGGGTCTACTTAACCAATGAACAACAAACAACACACAACTTTAAAAAAAAAAAAAATACCATAACTTTCTATTCCATATTTCATTTATGATGAAGCTTAAATAAAACCAAAACAAATTTATAAACATTGCCTATTTGCTTCTTATCCTATCATTCTGTGGGATTCTGATCCATATTTGATCAGAAGTCACACACACACACGTGTGTGTTGTCACCGAGGTCAACACCAAGTGGTGACAGCCTTCTACATGCTTCAGTGCAATCTTCAGACCTGTCGCCACTCAGTGTTGACCTCAGTGTCCGCTCTTATATTTATACACTCTATCCTTGATATTGAACACTTTTATCCATAAATATAGCATACCTGAAAAATTTTATTTTTTATCATATATATCTCAAACATAAAGAATATTCTTGAGTTTTAGAATAAAAAAGATTTGAAGAAAGAAAGTATAATTTTCATCGGTAGAATAACTTGCAAAAAGTCACAAATTTTGATTGTGGAAAAATATTTTTCATTTTAACTCCAAAATATTTTGTTTCTAAACAAATCTTAATGACTACAATTATGCTAAAAAAATTTTTTTTTTTTTTAATTTTATTTTTTAAGTTGAGGTGGATATGCATACAAAGTGAATCCATTGAAAAAAAATAAAAAAGGAAAAAAATTGCAGTTTATGTTTGTGGGTTTTGGAGAATCGCTGTCTGTTTTGAATATCTATTAACACATCTTTTTCTTCTTCTTCTGCTGGTGGGACATGTAAATAAATACATTCAATCTTCTTCATTGATTTATGAATTTATCATGGTCATTTTTTTTTTTTTAATCACACATCTTTTACAAATGCTTATGATTTGTTTGTTTTATCTTCTTGAATATTCTGTTCTCAAAATCAGTTACTTCATGTGATCTCTTCCCTCTCTCACTTTTTAAGTAGCCATCTTTTCTTTTTTTTTTTTTTTTATTTTAAATAACCATCATTTTTTCATTTTTTTAAATTTTTTATAATGTGATCTGTGAAAAGTGATTTCTACAAATAAAGCCCAACTCAAATAGAGATTGCACTACCTTGTCTCAAGTTTCTTTCGTAGAAAAAATAGTTTAAATAAACTTGGCTTTGATATAAAGAATTTTTTTGAAAGAAGAATGTGAAAATTCAACTGTAAAATCTAAAAAAAAAACAAAAAACACTGCTTTGATTGATGCTTTGATAGTTGATCATTGAGGTACCTTCAAGGTTTTACCAACAGATCTAATTGTTCATCATTAAATTTTTCACTACAAGGTTTTACAACCTAGTAATCTCTATCTCTCTTGATTAGTGTTAGCAAATGTGCTACTACAAAAGCAATTTGCCATTGCCTACAATTTTAGAGAAAATCATTGTTAAAGATCCCTGTTCTCTCTGCTTTGAGAATCTGTTTTCATTCTCTTTGCTAAGTTGAGAGTGAGACCAGAGATTGAACCCTTGATATCTCAGCCTCTAGTCCAATGCAACCACCTATCTGGGAACTAATCGATTGATAAAACTTGAAATTTGAAAGAAAAATGTTGAGACCCTTCTATTTCTAAAAGAAAAGAAATATTTCATTTTTCATTGACTATTCAAGATAATCATATATTGTCATTTGTTTTTAATTTATCTTTTCTTTTTCTTTTCTTTCTTTCTTCCTTTTTTTTGTCATTTATTTTTGGCTTTAGCTTGATCTGACAAAATGTCTGCTCTTTGATATTTCAAGCTGACACTTAAAACATGCTTTTGTTATTGGTCTTATCATATTCTGTGGTCAATGTGTTGGCCATTTCTCTACACTCTCTAGAATATAACAAGTG